CTAAAGACAAAGATGTCAAACCCAATGGACTAGTAAGTTTCTATTGGATCTAGTGATCCCTAAGGTACCTATGAGTTAGATACCCTTGAGTTTAGCAGATCATTGTGCACAAAGGAATAAAAGACAGCTTTCGCCAATGGGGTGGTGTGTGTGCACAGTGACAACATGACAGTAGTAAAGAGAGAATAATCATACATGTAGGCTTTACCTCCTATTTATAGAGTTTACCTATGGGTATTGGATTCTATACCTTCTGTGCCTCTTCTAGCATCCCAAGTCCATGTTTAATGTTGTCGTATTAGGATTGATATCTTTGATGAATATCCTCTTATAATTATATTAGATTTATATTTAGATTGTCTCTTGTTGGGCTTGGTGATAAATGTGTTTCATATATGAATCCATAACACAAACGTACTTTCACTAGGCTAATTTTTTCGCAAATGTTCTGAATATAGTGCTTTTTCCATATAACATATGATATTCATTTTTATAAAAATCTATTGACCAGTGTGTCCAAAAAATATATTAATTTGTGTAAAAATAAAATCTCTAATATTTTAAAAATGAACATATTAAAAAATTATTTTCTGTTTAAATATATTAATATTAAAATAATATATTAATTCTTGAGAATTGCACTAATCAGTGATGTTAATACATCAATCCTTTATCAGACTTAATCTCACCCCCTTAGACCTGATTAAGTTGTACATTATTTTAGTGTATTAAGGGATTCTGTTGTTTAAGCTTATATCATAGGATTGTCACACCAATTAACTAAAAAAGTCATAACTATAGTATAAACTTACATTATTAGGCCTTATACATCATACCAAACAGGCCTATCATAATGATTTAAATATATATTTATTTTAGCTAATTTAAATCAAAATAGAATATATATTTTCAGGTACAAAGGAGTGAGTATATTAAAAACTAACCAGAAAAATATCATAAATTAAATTTTAAAAAATCGAATTTAAAATTTTAAAAATAAAAGTAACCTATGTATATCATTTAATTTAAAACAAAAGTCACATAAGTAATTAAGTTAATCTAAATTCGTCTACCAAAAAAAAGTTAATCTAAAATCAATTTATTCTAATTTAATGGATAATGGGGTACGTGATTAGGAAAAAACCAAGGTGATTTTAAATATATTTTTTTTGGTGGATAGGTGATTTTAAATATTAATCTCTGTTATTGTTTACAAATTCAAGTTGAAATATCTTTTGATTCTTTCCCCGAAAATCCGTACCTAATGCAACTTGTTCTGCTCCACTGCTTCAACCAAACACCGTTATTTAATTTAAACTTGGATAATGGATCCACCTAAACTTCTTTCCCGTGAACAATTAGCAATTTTTTAAAAAAGAAAAACAATAGGGGTTTTTTAAAAATATCTTTTGTTGTTTTTCTATGTGTGGAATCTGATTATTTGTAAAACAATTTCTTAAAATGTGTTTAAAATGACTACTCAGCATCCATTTGGAAATGGTGGTCAAACTTACATAATTATGCTAATGATACCTTGTAAGTCGTGTATATATTGTTAGAGCGATTTCAATCAAATTAATGTCATATAAAAATTTGGTTATCGATGCTCGAATGCATGTGAAGATGCAATGCATCGATCCTTCCAATCAATACAAAACAATAACACAATGCATCCATGATCTATGATACTGATAATTAATGTAAGTCGTACTGCACAAGTTCCCAAAACTCGTGTTTGCACGAAGAAACCGGCGGTGGTTACAATGACATTTTAGTACTATTAAAAGGAAAAATTTATATTAACTATTTTTTTTCTTATTATTTTTTACTATCAAATTTTAATTGTTAATTTTTATTAATCTAACAGTTATAATTTATTAAAAATTTATAATTAATTAATAAATATGATTCAATAAATTATAATCGTTAGATTGACAAAAATTAATAAATATAACCTCTTTCTAATAATAATTAATATTTTATATAAAATATTACGTTTGCGGGGAAATGATAAGAGAATTTAGGAACATCGACTAATGTGCCACGATTCAAAAAAAAATGTGCCTGAATTCCACTTGATTAACTATTTTTCAGACTACCACGCGTCTAAACTCGCTACAACTTGTACTGAGTTCGGTTAGACCACGTGACACGTTCCCATTAATATGTCAAATTCGCTCCCTGCGGCAGTGAGTACAGACTGCCACGTGGTAAAACAAGTCAACTCATTTTCAGAAAACCATAACTTTTAGTTCGAGAGTCCGAATTGGGTACTTTTTTTAGTTCAACGTACTTTTTAAGATCTAGATACTTGAATGATTATTTTTTATTGTTGAAAAATAAAAAATAAAAAATAAATAATGTCATTTACATATGCAAAATATGTCAAACGGGGCACAAAGAAGTTTTTTGGTAATTTTTTTTTGACCAAAATGCTCTAGGAATTTGATAGCGCGTAGATATCAAAAAGTTACGTGAAATAAAAAAATACCTAATTTAGATATCCAAACTAAAAGTTATCGTCTTTCGAAGTTTTACGATAAAATTTTCAAAATTTTATGCTACTAGTAACGAAATCGTTGGCTAGAAAAGTCGCTGTCAGTGGTAACGAGTTTAGTAGCTTATGATTGCATGACACATGACACACTTTCACAGAAAAAAGACTGACTGCTTTGACCACCATACTCGCTGCAACTAATAGCTAGTTTGGTGGCCTCTGGCAACATGGCCTAACCAGTGTTAACGAGTTTGGATGCGTGCAGTGGCGGATCCAGAAAATTAAAGAAGGGTGGGCACTAAGTTCAAGTACATATAGATCTAGGTCTGGTCTGGAATGTGACTTGCGAGCAGCTGCCGACTGTATGAGTCTGGTTTAGATCTAGATATGGACGGATTGCGACTCAACTGGATCGATGATGGAGGAAGAAACAAATGTTCCATCTTCCAATAATGGAGATTGAGGTTTGAGAGGAGATGAATCAGTATCTAGATGCAAATGATGGGTCTGTAATAGAGTTCTCTGCTGTTAGGTTTAAATAATGAAGGTGGAGGTGAAAAAAAATCAAAAAATAAAATAGAAGGAGGAAAATTAAAGGGGTAGGATATCGTAACAACCAACTAGGGTTACTACCAATCAATTTCACCGTTAGATCGATTATGTTGATTTAACGGTTATATTTATTTTCATCTTTGTATGGTTATGATCCCCATATTTAATGTGAAAATATTAAATATGGGAAATCATAACCATATAAAATTGAAAATAAATATAAAGTATTAAATATGGAGAATCATAACCATACAAAGATGGAAATAAAAATAACCGTTGGATCAACATAATTGATCTAATGGTGAAATTGATTAGTAGTAACATTGGTAGTAAGCCTAATTGGTTGTTATAATATTCTACCCCGAAATTAAATTGAAAAACTTGAATTTTAAGAGAGGGATATTTTTGTATTTTTACATCAAATTTCAAGGGTGGGCACTTGCCCCCCTTCTCTTGAATGTAGATCCGCCTCCGGATGCGTGGCAGTCCGAAAAATTGTTTCAATCGCATGGCTAGTAAATTGTTTTTTATTTATTTAAAATATGGCATATTGGTCGATGACCCAGAATTTGCAAACTGGAAAAACAGAGCTATCCATTCACACAAAAAGATTCTTATATATAGATATATATATATAAGAATCTTTTTGTATCATTTTTTTAACACGAACACGACACGATTTTTTTGTGGTTCAACCTGAATATGAATTTTCTTGTTGTGTCATGAGTCGACCCGCGTGTCATAACTTATTTTGACACCCCTACGTAAATCAATCTCATATGTAACTTGTGAAAAACCAACATACACCTGCCATTTGTCATACTCTGCAAAACGTCCATTACTCCCATGCACAATCAATTAAGTTGCTCACTCCCCAATGCACTTCCTGCACGGGCGATGCGTGGCAATGGGTTCGCACTGGCTTTTGCACTAATCGCGCATTGGAGTGATGTGCGACTTAGATATACATTGCCAGGATGTATCTTATCACATTAGATTGGTAAATAGTTTGTCAATAAAATAAAAAAATGAATAGTTACACAATTCGTCTTAGATAGGTCATAAATCCAGTATAATGCCATTTCAATTAGGTATACCATTATTATTTCTTACTTTTATTATATTTTTTATGCTATACATTAAATAATATAAAGTTGAAATCTATTACATAAGAGTAATGATAAACTTGTGTTTTATATTTATTATTAGTCATTGATCTCTTTAGATTCAACGAGATCATTATTATTCATCATGCGAGTCAATAGATGTGAACGAGATCAATCACTAATAATAGATCAAAGACTTGCTAGATTAATTACGATGTAATTAAGTTTATTCTCTTCTATCATTATAATATTTTGTGAGCACATAAAATTTTCTTTTCATATTAACCAATTATTAATTACGTTTAAACTAATCATAGTTTTTTTAAAATGAATTAATCATCAGGCAATTCTAATATTTGACTATTTGAATATTTTTTCCGTGTTACTTATTAACATAATATTGTCATATGTCTTATACAAAAAAAAGTAATATTGTCATATGTTACGAAAGATAAAAATACAAAAGCAAAATTAATGAACCGTAAAAGAAGAATGGTAGATTTAAATATAATTACTTTTATAACTTCCTCTGTCGTGATATAATATGTTAATGGGAAAAATGTGTATCATTTAAAAGGATGTAAAGTTGTATCATTTTAAGTTAGAGAAAGAGATAGATAAAGGAGGAGAGAGAGTGGATAAAAAAATATAAAGGTATGAGTCTCACCTTTTTGTGAGAGTGAAATGATATAAGTTGTGTCATTTAAAAGGACAAACATTTTTCGCTATGTTAATAAGTACTATGAGTGAATATAATTTCAATATTCAATTCTTAACTTTCCTATAAATAAGTTGCTTTTAGCCTTCCACACTAATTAACCTAGCTAGCTGTAAATTGACCAAGAATGGCTTGCGATATTCTTAGGTTCTTCTTTCTCTTCTCTTGTTACTTGATCTCTATCCATGGAGTACCCTTAGAAGAATCCCACATAATCTTACCCACAGAGAGACCGGAGAGAGTCACACACCTACACTTTTATTTCCATGACATCCTAGATGGTGAAAACCGAACTTCAGTGAAAATCATTAATCCACCTAGCGGTTCTCCTAGTGCTTTTGGAGCCACTTACATGATTGATAACCCTTTGACTGAAGAACAAGATCTAAGTTCAAAGCTTATCGGAAGAGCTCAGGGAACTTATGCTTTGGCTTCTCAACAACTTGATTTTGCATTCAAGATGGATATTAATTTTGTTTTCACAGAGGGTACCTACAATGGAAGCACCCTCACCATGCTTGGGAGGAATGTTATTACGCAAGAAGTTAGAGAAATGCCAATTGTTGGAGGCACTGGTGTCTTCAGATTTGCACGGGGCTATGCATTAGCAAAGACTGTTTGGTATAATACTACATCCGGAAATGCTATTGAGGAGTTTAATGTGAGGCTCACTCATTAATTTCTATATATTTTGTTTGTTTCGTGGATCTGCATCCGCTCATGTTAAAAAATAAATAACATGATCACGCGGGGAATCATAGCTATATAAATAGAAATTAATAGTTATAAAAAAAAAAATATTAAAGTCATTACAAAATCATAATCGTTGAATTACCTTTGTATGATTGTGATTTTTCCAGGTGATCATGTTATTTTTTTTTTCCACACTAGAGAAGATCCATTTCCATGTTTTGTAGCATCTGTGTAAACAGAAACCTTTCCTGTCCGGGGGACATTGTTGGATAAAAATGCATGTATTTAAGCTAAAGTGTATTAGTTCAATAAATTATTGACATATCCTAATTAATATTAATTATTATAATTAACTACTTATTAATTATAATAATTAATAGTGTACATAGTTGACTGAGTGATTTATAAATACTCAAATATGAATTTTGAAATTTAAATAAAAAAAAGTTATATTGATAGCAAGATCTGTATCGGAGCTCCATAGCAGACAGAAAGGAATAATATGGACTCTGGTTGATTACTCAGCATAGGTCGAGTATGAGAAATTAATGGTTCAATTTATCTCCGTCTCGCTGCTTTAGGAATTCGTTAGCACCAAATCAGATGTAGCAAAGTTGGTAATCTCTCAGCTATGCCTTAAAATGACTCAACCCGTAACGTTCCGCATTTGAAAGTGAGTTCAAAATTTCAACTCATATTGACTGCCCAGCTAATCTATCAATATATTAGAAAATTGAAATTTTTTCAAAAATTATACTCTCCATAAATGTAAAAAATACCAAACTAAGACAAAACAAGTTCAAAGAAAGTCACTAATTAATTATTTTTTTTAAAAAGAAAACAACCTATGGTCTGAAAATCCACCTCTAAAAGACAGAGCACAAGCATCGTCATCTTACTGAGCCGCAATTGATATCATTTTGATAACTTCCTTCAGAAAGAGAGCAGCGAAGAAACTCCCCTTGTCACCATTTCATTAATTTTTTTTTTTTATATTATTTATCAATTGGTTGACTACTCAACTAATTCAATTCAAACCGAGGCAAATATAAACATAAACTCTGATCTCTAGCGCAATTAATGTCAATGACTACTTTGAGAATTTCATTGTTAGATCTTTCATATTTAATTCCACTTTAGATGTTACCATCACCAATGTTTATGTCATTTTTATTCATGTTAAATATTTATTTTATTTTAATTGTTTAATTAATAGTGTTCAAAACCGTAAATCTCTCCTTGACCGATTCACATGCCTGTCCAATTTTGAAAAATATCCCTCATAGATTCGGAAGAACAATTACATAAGGCTAAGGGCATCTTGTTGGGAACTCGTTCCCTCAACTCGGTTGGGACAAGTCAGTCCCTCAACTCGGTTGGGACAAGTCAGTCCCTCAACTCCGCTCTTACAACCTTTTTGCGGAGATCAATCAGCAAGATCCTGGATCTAGGATCTCGGCAATCTTACTTCGGTTTGAACTTCACCAGGTCGGGCAGCACAGCGGAAAAACAAAAATATATAAAGGGGAGAGAGAGAAAGAGAAAACAAGCAGATTTTAACGTGGAAAAATCTTCTCTAATGAAGAAGTAAAAACCCACTGGACCTAGTCCAATTCAAACATCTAGTATGAAAATAATGGGCACAAAGAATCAAGATTCACCAATGTGGTGGCTAACTCAACCTCTCCAACAATGGTGATAATCAAACTTCCCTAGAGATGTTTCACTCAAACTTTCTCTTGAGGTCTCTCAAATACAAAGCTCAAAGCTTTGCTCACAAATCTCTCAAATATTCTTTTTCATCTTCTCTTGTTCTCTAACCTAGCCTCCACCCACAACTAATGAATATATAGAGGAGGTGAAATCTAGGATTTAGGGTTTTTAGAAAACCCCCTCAATGCGTCGGCTTCAGCATCAACCTGGCTCTTTCACAGCAGTCTTCAAATTTCCTTACTGGAACCGGCTTCGTCGTCATGTCGGACCAATTTTGGTCAGTGTGCACTTTGACGAGTTCGAGCGCTCCACCTTCCACCACATCCCGGATCCAGAGATACTTCACATCAATGTGCTTAGTGCGGGAGTGATAGGTCGAATTCTTCGCAAGATGAATTGCGCTTTGATTGTCACAACCCAGCTTGTACTTCTCTTGATCATGGCCGAGTTCCATGAGGAACTTCTTCATCCACAATATATTTTTGCTTGCCTCTGTTGCGGCTATGTACTCGGCCTCTGATGAGTCTTCAAATTAGTATGTATTAAAAGTCAATATGAGCATGGAATTCATTTAAAAGTAATTAAAAGTTATGAGAATTATAACTAAATTGTTATTTTATTCTGAGTAATATTCTCATAAAAATTCTTATATTTTGCATTAATTTTCAGCTCAATAAAGATATAAATTGGAGAGCTAAAGTAAATTTGCTTTAGATTTCTGAATCATTGAAGATCTTATTGAATATTTCTTTGAAAATTTTAAAGGAAAGTTTACCTTTAAATATAAAAGGGAAGATTTGAAAGATTAGATTAAAGATATGATTGGAGATTCTAGTGAAGATTTCATTGAAGATATTATGAGAAATTAAAAGATATGATTTCATCACTATAAAAAGGCAATTAGACAGAGGCAATCAGTTAAAAAAGAGGAAGAGAATCAAGGGAGCAGCTTGGATTATAAATCCAACAACTATCTGCAACCTCCTCCTCTGCCACAAAAAGAGCCATCCGAATTGGAGAAAGCGATGATACAACTAGCCAAAACTACTAATGATCACATAAATGAGACCAGAGCCTACCACAAGAACCAGGATGCTTCCATCTGAAACTTGGAGAGTCAAATAGGCCAGTTGTCTAGGAAGTTGGCTGAAAGAGCTCAAGGACAGTTCCCAGGAGATACAATTGTGAATCCAAAGGCAGACTGCAAGTCCATGGTAACCAGGAGTGGGATTGTAATCACTCCTCAAGACAAGCCAAAATTGGTTCAGCAAAAGAAAGTTGATGAGCCGATAATTGAGCCAGAGCGTGAGAAAGAAGAACCTGCAAGGCAAGACAAAGAAGAATCAAAGGAGAAAGCTGTTGAAGCTCCAAAGAAACTGATGGATTATTCTCGTTTTGAGAAACCTCCTTATCCCATGAAGCTCAAACAACAGGCACAAAAGCAACAATATGCCAGGTTCTTAGAAATGTTTAAAAAGATGCAATTAACATTCCTTTTGCTGAGGCTTTAGCCAATATGCCTAACTATGCTAAATTCATGAAAGATTTATTGTATAGAAAGCATAAGTTGCAGGATTGTGAGACAGTAGCACTTACTGAAGAGTGCAGTGCCATCATACAGAAGAAGTTCCCATCAAAGCTTCGAGATCCTGGGAATTTCAACATCCCAATTGCGGTAGGCAACACTAATGTTGGCCGGGCACTATGTGATCTCGGAGCAAGCAACAACTTGATGCCATTGTCAATATGCAAGTCATTGGGAATTACTGAGTTGAAGCCAACCATGGTCTCTCTTCAACTTGCTGACCATTCTTTGAGGAGACCTAATGGAATCATAGAAGATGTCCTTGTTAAAGTTGACAAGTTCATCTTCCCTGCTGATTTCATCGTGTTAGACATGGAAGAAGAGAGTGAAATGCCCCTTATGTTGGGTAGATCGTTCTTGGCCACAACTCGAGCTATGATTAATGTAGAACAAGGAAAGCTCGAGTTGAGGATGAATGATGAGAAAATCACTATTAATGTTTTCGATGCTATGAAGAATCCCTCTGATCATAGTGATTGTTTCAAACTTGAAGTGTTTGAAGAGGTGGTTATGGAAGAGAAAAGTGATTATCAAGAGCTTGAAGAAGAGTTGAAGGCTCTAGATGAAGCTGCTTCAGAAGAAGAGTGAGCAACTGTCTTTGAGGTGCTAGAAAAGAAAGAAGATGACTCAGCTACATTGGTACCAAAGGTGGAATTAAAAGAGTTGCCTGAAACTCTTAAGTATGCTTTCTTGGGAGACGAAGAACAATATCATGTTATCATCAATAAGGAAGTCCATCAGTAGCATGAAGAAAGCAAGCCAAGGGTTAAGATGGAAAAGCCCAAAAGTAAGGAAAAGCATGTGAAGACTAAGTTCAAAGTTCCTGAGAACCCCCATCCTCATCCACACGCATATGGTCATGGAAGGAAATAATACTGGATCAAGAAGATTGGGTCATCAATGGTAGCATGCTTCCAACCACCATAAATCACAAGGGGTACGTCAGGCTCGTGACGTTAAACAAGCGCTAATTGGGAGGCAACCCAATAGTTGTTTTTCTGTTTTTAATTTATTATGTTATTTTCTTAGGTTAGTTTAATTTTTAATAAGTCAAGTAAATGGTGAATTAGTGACCATATGAAAAAAATTTAAATCTGGGAATTGGCGCTGTCAGCGCCAATTTGGCGCTAGTAGCGCCACAAGACCAAAAGAGACAGTGAGTTCCACGCCCACAGCGTGGTAACCACGCTATCAGCGTGGAAACCTCACAAAGTACTCGCGCCAATAGCGTGAATTCCACGCTTCGAGCGCCATCAAGCGAAAACTGAGTCTGAGAAGTTGGCGCTGCTAACGTGGCCCAACCAAAATGGATAGTGACCACCACGCTGAGAGCGTGGGTGTGACGCTCTCAGCGTCAGAAAGGAAAAATTGGCAGTAAGTCCACGCTCACAGCGTAAAACCCACGCTATGAGCGCAGGTGCAAAAATCAGATTTTTTGTTACAAAAAAAAAAAAAGGTGAAACCCTAATTCCCCCCTCACAGCCATCACTCTATCTCACTCTCTCTCTTTCTCTACCAACCACCACACCTCACCAACGTCAACCACCGTGCAACCACCATACACCACCATCTCTTCTCCACCTTCCACCACTACACCTCTGTCTCACTATTTCTCTCTATATTCCCATCAACGACCACGACCACCTTCGACCACCAGAGAACCACCTAATCTCCTCCTTAGACCCACAACCATACACCGACCACCACCACAACCTTCGCACCACCTCCACAGCTCCACTGTCACACAGTCACATTACCTACCACACCCAAATTCCTCCATTCACCCATATCCTCTCACCGTCGACCACCATTTGGTTACAAGTTAGGGTTACAATTTCTTTTTTTTGGGACCCTTTTCACTGCACATTACAAGCTTGGTTCTATTTCAGTTGCAAATTCCTTACATGGCTGGAGACAAGGTATGCCCTCTTCCTCATGCGTATATTTGAACTTGGGTATTGAAGATTGTATTCATGGTATAATATATTTCTTTGATTGTGAAGCAAATTCTGAATTCGGTATGCATGTCACATGTTTGTCCAAAGGTTTGTGTTAGCTCATTTAGTTTACTCAAGCATACTCGATCCATAGTTGCCATCTTGTGAATGAATTTAATTTGGAGCTTAAAATTTGATTCATTCTGATTGCGATTGCATTGTTGATATTTGGATTTGCAGCAAATATGGAAATCAAAGGTACTTATGTACACTGTATGATGGGGACTGGTATTTTGTGTTTAAGCATGATCACTGATATAATTAGAGACACATACATTTTAGTGATATGATAATTGCTGCTCATGGACTAAAGGCATCTGTGTTGATTGTTATACTGATACTCATTTCCATGCTTATCTATGTAAAGGAAATTTTTAAAGTGAATTGAGTTACATATGCTCCCAGATTGGGGATTAAGATAAGTTGCACATTGGCTTTCTATGGTAACACTCCACACATTAGTTTAATATCCATGCTTATGGTATTCTGAGTAAGCATCTGATATAGGGATTAATGTATTAGTATGAATGCAGTTCTGATATGCATACCAAGCAGCATGCCATTTAATTAAATCCGTACATTATGCTTGATTTTGTTTGTATTCACTGAACAACACAAAATCTAGGAATTCTTGGACCTGCTCTTCCATGTTAACACTGATGATTTGCAATTGTTGTCTTGTGGTACTTTTCTGAGTGCAGGGTAAAAAGAATACTAAAAAGGCAGTTGGCACAGGCGGCAAGAAGAAAGGCGAAAGTAGTGCAACTGGCACTAAGAGGCCCAGGGCTTCTGCTTCCACTGATTTTGATGGTACCCGGTTCCTTACACCTGCTGCCCAGGACCGGTACTTCAATTGTTCATCCACAAAAAAAGTATTCAGGAGAGAACAATCAATGAGAACCTGGATGAAGATTGTCCAATAAGAAGAACCATATAGAGGAGACAGTGGCAGCATTTGGTGCAATTCCCTACAGTCAGCTCAAGCACCATCTTGAAGGAATTATGTGCCAATGCTGACAAGGAAACTGTGGACAAGACTAGGAAGAGTTGGGTGAGGGGGAAAGAAGTCTCCTTCACAGCCTTCGCTATTGAGAGGTTCCTTAAAACCTCTTGGGATGCTACCAAGAGATGTCACTTCACCCAAACTTTTAACAGCCTACAGCCCACTGTGGGACTGTATAGAGAAGACATGCCTGACATTGCTGAAAGAGTCAGGATAGCCATCACCCAGCCACAGTCTGCTTGGAAGCCCAAGAGTGGTCAGCCAGATGTGCCTGAAAAATTGGATAGGCTGGACCTTAATGAAGAGGCAATTTTCTGGCATTCTTTCATCAACTCCAACATTATAGCTTCCACCAATCTAAGTGATGTCAATGTGGTGGGAGCAGTACTGTTTTATACTCTCCTGGGGGAGGATAATTTCCACATTGGAGCTATTCTGTCTGATAGGATAGTTTCCATCATCACTCAGGGAAAACCTGACCTTCGCCTCGCACATTGCTCATTGATTGAACAGCTATGTGTGCAGGCTGGAGTGGAGATACCAGAGGAGGAGCCCCGCGATGTAAAGTTAAAGAGGGAAATGACCCAGAGCCATTATTGGGCTATGAGGAATGAGTCACGTAAGTAGGCCATATGGAGGGCATCTGACGACATCCTACCTCCACCTCCACCGGCATCACCTGAGCCGGATGCTGAGCCACCAGCAGCAGCCATAGCCCCCACAACTGATTCCCTACTCCTCCAGGATCTGGATCGTCGCACACGGCGGATGCAGATTGAGCACCAGTATATCATTACGATGATGGACAGGCTCTGCAGTGATCGCGGGATTGACACTGCCAGTTTTAGGCCTGAGTTCCCACCACCTTCACCACTTCCTGCACAGGCTGAGCCACCTGTAGCCCCTGCTGCTAATGATGCTGATCATAATGATGATACTGCCATAGATGACTCATGATTTTTATTTTTACATTGCCTCACTATCACTCACTTCACCCTGACATTTACTTAGGCATTTTATTTTGCTGTTTTAAGTACTTTGTTAGATTACATGGTTGGATTATTTCTCCTTATGCAGTACGCTTTAATGATTATTCTGTTTTGACTGTTTAACAAGTGTGTGTGTGTGTGTGTGTGTGTTCCACCTGGCAGAATTAGCCCTTCGACTAGTCTAGTTTGTTGCTGAGGACAACAACGTTCTAAATCTGGGAATTGTCGCATGCTGTATGCGAGACTTGCTAAATACTGCGGAACTACACAACGAAAAGGACGTCTAAACAGAAATTTTTCTGAAAAAGGGGAGATATTTTAACCTTCAATTTTTTATTTTTTATTTTATTATTTTCTGTTTTCAGTAGATTCAATTTTTAAAGAAAACGAAAAAGAAATTAGAGAATTCCTGAACAAGCAGTCCCAGAGTGTTTTAAGCTTACTTAGTAAGTAATTAGATTGAGTTAGAAGATGCATGATATCTGTCAGCAACTAATTGTTTTTATCTGAGAATGATGACTGCTCGTTTTTATAACTGTTTTGGTGAAATTTTTTGGATAATGCTTGATGTGAAACTTTGAATTGCAATTCTAGTTTGAATTATAACTGTGAGGATTTAAGCCTAAACATAAATTATTTTTCAGAGAGGCCTCTTTGTAGTAGTTTCTAGAACTTGAACTGTTTCTCTGGCTTGCATGCATTACTGAAATGATAAGGGCATTTTTTTCTTGTTAACTTAGAGCCAAACAGCCTACCTATAAGAATTCCCATTGTTAAGCCCTTTTGAGCCTTAAACCAGTTCATTCAAACCTGATGGAAATTACTTAATCTTGTTCCTCTTGGCACACCTTGAGAGATTGAATGCTGATCAAAGAAGAAAGTCAAGGTACTTCACAAAGGAAAGATAAGTAGTTGAAAAAGGAAACAGGAAACTGGTTTGCAAAATATGGCAAAAATTCTGAAAAAGGAAAAGAAGAACATTTGCAGCTCAAAAGAGAAAAGAAAGAAAACATCTGCAAACAAGGAAAGAAAAGGGTAGTGAAGAAAGGGAAAGAATCCCAAGTCTGTAAAATGATGCAGAATGAAGAAGGGAATGAAGTATTGTTAAAATCAGTGTTTCAATCTCTCCAATCAGCTTCTGACCAAAAGATTCTCACCCCCAAACCAGGCCAAGTTACAACCTATCAAAGACCTTTTGATTAGTCTGTGCATGTCAAATGGATTCCTTAATCTTAGGAATTGAGAATAAGTTCAAGCCTATGGAATTACTACTACACTGATGGATAAGTGTGAAACCCTCAAACACTGAGCGTGATGAGAGTACATTTAAACTGTGAGGAATATTCAAGTTAGGATTTCAATTCTTGATATAACTGAAAAGCATTGTTGGAAGTTTTAAACAGAGAGTTATACACGCATAGCAGTCTGAATTCTTAAGATGTTGTGTTTCATGTTTTCACAGAATTATTCTTTGCTGATGACTTTCGTATAACATTTATCATCACGACCTTCTTTTCATTCAAAATTTATCTAATTTTTAAATTAATTATGTATATTTTAAAAATTTAATAACTTTTCACTTTTATTTTATATTTCTTAGATTTTACTTGAATTTATTATAGATATCTCTTTTGTTATTTTAAATATTTTTATGGATACTCATTAATACAGTAATATATATATATATATATATATATATATATATATATATAAAAGTTTAATGTTTTTGTTTTTAGTGCATAATTTTTATTTCACATTCATATAAAAGTGAGTGAATCCTATTATAAAGAGAAGAATGAGAAAAAGTTTGTAGGACCTACTTACTTTTATAACAATGTGGCAAAAAAAAAATTCTACAACAAAAGTAGAAATAATTTTATATATATATGTATATGTGTGTGTGTGTGTGTGTGATTAATATTTCTCTTGTTGTAAACCATAATTTTATCTCTTACACATGCATAAAAATATGTGTGGTCCATGTGGGGCCATGTGAAGAAAAAAGAGAGAAAAAGAAAACATGACTCTCGTATACTTTTATAGGGACATAGTAAATTACACTCTCAATATTTGTTAGGGACTAAAACAGATATCATGAAATTTGTTGAAGACCAAAACAGATATTTACTGTATTAAATATTTATTTAGCTCTTCACGTGATTAATAAACTCTAGCCATTGAGTGTACATTGCTCGACCATGACAATTTGGTTAAAATTTAATATAGCACTTACTATTTTAACATGATATAAGTTTTGATTTGGCAGGACCAGTAGGCTCAATGTTAATAGCCCACATTTATAACTTTTTAGAGAGCATTCCATGATGAGCCATAGTTTCACATAGGGAATCACCAGTGTCATTATACACTGACAATGGATGCAAAACGCCTTGCAGGAGAGGCAAGACAAGACTAACGGTAGTAGAGCTCTGTCCTCCTCTCTCTTTCCCACATCTAGGAGTATCCAATCCCCTATAAATACTCATCTTCTCTTATTGAAAAGATATATGATTTTACACACATTCATAAGCTGTTATTCCGCTAAAATTTAAAGTCATCATAGGTGAAATACATTATCCCCCGTTGCAGAGATCTCTACCTAGCACCTAGGTAACTCACATTGAGCCTTGGTCCATACCATTTCTATTTTGAGTATTCCTAAATCAACATATTTCACCTCTTGTGGGACATATCTCTGTTTCCTATTGTGAGACATATCTTTGGTTCTAAATTCACAACAATTGAAGTTTGATCCATCCTTAAATGAATAAAGGCTCTTGCTAAGCATCATGGACAACTCTATCACAACTTCTAGCATGTGAAAATTCAGCATTTGAACTTGAATTAATAAAACGTCGTACGAAAATGAAACTGAAGGCTCGAGAATCCTAATGTTACGAGGGCAAAAATTAAATTTCATTTTTTAACATTTTTGTGGATGGGTGGGATTAATTGTGGAATAGTGGAATGATTCAACAAAAGCACGAGCAGGATGGGTGTGCTGAGATAATGATTGTTTCAAGTAACACAAAGGCCATGCCTAGTCCTGAGCTCATCAATTGTACATTGGACCTTTTCAGTTTTTGACAATTGCTTTTATTTCAACTAACAAAAGCTACAGGCTACAGCACTCAACTTAATAAAGCGAGAAACAGAAAACATCTTCATGAAACCTGCAAAAGAGGTGTCATGCTATCATCAAAGGTTGTCTTTGTACCAAGTAAGCATGCTGAATGGCTTGGTCTCATCGGTCTCATATTTTTGTGACCGTTTTTTTCTGCAGCTTCAAATATAATTTATGTGATAAACGACTATTTTGAAAATTTTAGATAAGTTGCTATGAAATCTGCTGTTAAGCACCAGCTAAATATGGTGCAAATCCCCTGCCTCTAAATTCCATCAAACAAAACACCAACAGAGAAAATAGTTGGAAATTTGAGTGCGAGGAATGAAAAGTTTCATAATTGATTAGATATGGATTAAATTGTCAGAGAAATATAACATAAAATTATTAATCTGACATTTATTAATCAATTTAAATTTTTGGATTATTATGTGATTTTGGAGCCTTTGTGATCAAATTGTCACAAGTTGAATCCACATTATCCTCATTTCTTTTTTGAGTTTCTTCAATATATCTTTCGAGGCGTAGAGATTATCAAAATGAGTTTTATTTCTACCAACAAAGCTTTTTTCATACACACGGTCAGTGATTGAATCCCTATCAGTATGCTTAAGGGACCTAGTTATCTACCAACTTTGCCGAACTTTATTAAATAAATATTAAACAATTAAATAATTAAATATTATAAAATTGCAAGAGTAAAGTCACCTTCACCTATCAACTTAAACTTGGTGTAACCAATGGATGTAACAAGCAATCAATTGACAAAACGTTTAGTATAAAAAGTTTGAAAGGGTCTAACTAATTATAGCTTAAATAACTCTTTATTTAATGAAATCTTTATCAAAAGGGTATATCCTAAATCTTCTGCCAGGTTATAAATAACTGCATGCCACCATTGGCTAACATACCATAAAATTGTACGAGGATGGCTTCACTTCTCAGTTCCCTCTTTGCCTTTCATCTCATTGTTATCATGTCAAGTTCCTTAACCATGACAAATGGTGAGTTCTCAAAGCAGTCTGCTACGTATCCATCCACAAAACCCATGGAAAAAATCACCCAACTCCACTTCTATTTCCATGACATAACAGGTAAAAACCCAACTGCTATGCAAATTATAGGACCCCCTAATGGTTCCATTGGTGGTTTTGGGACCACTTTCATGATGGATGACCCCTTAACTGAAGGACCAAGTCCAAGTTCGAAGCTCATTGGAAGATCTCAGGGAATATATGCTTTGGCTTCTCAACATGAGATTGGGTTGCTCATGGTCCTGAATTTTGTCTTCACTGAAGGTATATATAATGGCAGCACCCTCAGCATTCTTGGGAGGAATCCTACTATGGAAAAAGTTAGAGAAATGCCTGTTGTTGGCGGTAGTGGGGTCTTCAGATATGCAAGGGGTTTTGCTTTGGCTAAGACATATATATTTAAAGCTAATTCTGGTGTTGCAATTGTTGAGTACAATGTGTCTGTTCTGCATGTTTGAGTATTGTGCTGAAGCTGTTCTTTAGGTTTGTTATTGGTGGCTTTGAATTAACCAGACTTACCTAGCCTGGTTCATAATATGTGATTTGTGTTTTTAAGTGACATTATTGTTGTTTTGTTGATGGAAAGTACTGATATCCCTTCAGTTGGGGATGTAGTTAAGCTTGACTAAGAAAAACTAATGTAACTTTTTTCCTTTCTATGTGTGGAATGTGCTTGTATTAATTTGATTGAAAAGTACAGCCTCAGACGGTATGCAAGTAATGGATATTTTAGAATAAGTGAATTGTTTTTCTTACATTGCATGTGAGATAAAAGTAATCTTACTACCCTCACAAAAGTACGAGAGAGGAGAGAGAATAAGAAAAAGAAAAAGAAATTAAAGTGGATTCCACGTAAAATTTGTATGTAAGAAGATTATTTTATCTTATACAACATAAGAAAAACAATTCTCTTAGAATAAACGTACACCGTCGGAGCACCTATGTCTATTAATTTTTTTAAAATTAGTTCCATGCATTATATCAGTTTCCTAAATTTTATTAAAACTTAAAAAATATATATAAATTATGAGAGGAAAGATATTTGTAAGTAAAAATGAGAATATACAAATTGGAATAAAAGAGAATGTGTAGTTGAATTTAAAAAAAATTAATGCATAATAGTATAAGCCCTTATCATGCTTATGACTATAATCTGATTTCACGGCAATCCAAGGATATTTGGGAGGCTTCTGCAAAAATTAAATATGGGGATACTGCTGCGAGTTCAAAGGAAATTTTGGTTCCTTGGAAATTTCCGGATGAAGGTTGGGTTAAAGTGAACACTGATGGTGCGACCAAAGGTAATCCGGGTTTAGCTTCTTGTGGAGGTGTGATTAGAGATTGTGCAGGACATTGGCTTAATGGTTTCTGCTATAGAGTTGGTCATTGCAATGCCATAATAGCAGAGTTATGGGGTATTTTGAAGGGCATTCAAATGGCTTGGGAAGGTGGTTGGAGAAAAGTTATCATTGAAAGTGACTCTAAAATAGCTGTCATGTGGCTCAACTCAAGGGGTGGGCCAGCCTGTGAGTCTCATCTTGTTGCTCGTATACAGGCATGGATGGATAAAGACTGGACTGTTAAGGTCCAACACTCGTATAGAGAAGGAAACTGCTGCACAGATTGGCTGTCAAATCTTCCTTTGGTTGATCCGGATCGTGCTGATTTTTGTCTTTTTTGGGGGGGGGGGGCTCCGGGTATTAGTCTTTTGTATTTAGCTGATTTAAGTGGTTTAAGTAGAACTCGTTGTATTTCTTCCTTTTAGCCTGTAGGGAGGTTTTTAATCCCATCCAGGATACCAAAAAAAAAAAAAAAAATTAAAAATAACACGTATAATTTTTTAGAAAAAGTAAAATAATAAATTAAGTTCTTTTTGTTAATTGTGTCAAGTAATATTGAGCTTGTAAAGCTTAAAGTCATTTGAGTCTTTGTTTCCTAATATTTTATTGTCTCCTTATATAAGATGGGGCAGGTTATATTTACAAACTTTTTTGTTTACAAACTCTTACAAATTACACTAAGAACGACCGGTCATACTTTAATCATGCAGTATACGATCGGCCGTACTTAGTATAATTTGCAAAAAAAATTTGTAAACAAATTGTACCCCATATAAGATTACTCAAAGGCAGTACAAAAGGAGCATATTTTCGGAATAGAGTAGGTAATTCCTTGCAAAAAAAAAAAATAACATGGAAGAAAATAATCGTAAAGATAAAAGTACTATAAATACATTATTATTTTTTTTATATATTTGATAAAGGGTTTTACTTTTCTCATGTTGTAGGAGAGAAGTTATCTCATGTTGTGAGATAAATTAAGTGGAGCCCACCAATTTTAAAAAAAAGAAAAGAGATACACGTCTTTTTATGTGAGTGTAAAATGAGAGAGTAATCTTATGCAACATAAGAATATAATTTCCCTTTGATAAAAGATGTTTTGAGTAGTGTGCTGATTGGTTAGCTAAAAAAGCTCTTTCCTTCCCTTGGGGTTCTCATTGTTGCCCAACCCCTCCTACTGATATGTTTCATCTCATATTTTTTTTGGATCAAAAGGGTGCTGCCAGCATTAGCACTAGGGCCCGTGATTGATTGGTGTTTCTTTTATGTTTTTTTCTTCTGTTTTCTTGGGGCTCTGCCCTTTTATTGTACCAAAAAAAATAAAATAAAAAATAATAGTTTCCTCGGAGACACTGGTGTGTGAATTGAACATTCCGATTTACATTCTCTGTAAGTTAATCAGCGAGCTGCTCTTTTCTTTGGTAAATATGCAAAAACAACTTTGCAGCGTTGGTTGGATATGAACATTCATTATTAAGCATCATAATAATATTTGTAATAACTATTAACGATTACCAAATTAAAAACGTGTTGCGCTTTTGTCACAATAACCCAAAAGTCCAGTCCAATGACGCTTTAGTAGCTACTGAAGTGGTAGAAATGAGAGGTAGTCATTATAGACATTTTGAGGAAGAAGAAAAAAAAGGAAGAAGGAACAACAGTGGTTTTGCTGCAAAATTGAAGAAGCAGCATTTTTACTTCCAGCTTTATTGGGAACTTGATTCCCTCAAGTCGGCTAAATAGTCTTTTTGCGGAAGTCAGTCAATGAGATCCTGGATCTTGGATCTCGGATTTCGACAATTACCTCGGCCTGAACTTCATCAGGTCGGGCAGCGCAGCGGAAAATCGAAAAACACAAACAGGAGAGAGAGAACACAAACAAATTTTAACGTGGAAAAACATTCTTCAATGAAGAAGTAAAAACCCACGAGACCTAGTCCAGATCAAACGTCCACTATGAAAATAATGGATACTAATAATCAAAATACACCAATGTGGTGGTTAACACAACCTCTCCAACAATGGTGATAATCAAACTACCCTAGAGATGTTTCACTCAAACTCTCTCTAGAGATCTCTCAGGGGGGCGTTTGGTTAAGGAGAAATTTTTTGAATAATAGGGAAATGTAATTGATGGGGAAATGATTGGAAAGTGAGATAAAGTGAGATAGGTAGGAAAATGTAAAAAAGTTATTTGGTGAGGAAAAACTTTACTGGGTAAATTAGGTAACTTTTATGAAATCCATGTTTGGTTGGAGGTAAAATATAGATGGAAAAAAAAGTTGGTATTACGAAAATAACCCTGATGCAAATCATGGTTCGGACCTTCCTGTTACTGTTTCTTGGTTTCAAGTTTCATTCAACGATATTGATTTATCATAGTGTTTTTATCTTTGCTTTTGTTATTTTTTGCAGGTGACAGACCAGGATATATCCACAATGGTGCGTTGCTGGCCAGAAGAGTATAGTCAGCCCTAACAAACAATGGGTGATAAGCATCTGAAGTCGAAATTCATGATAGGCCATACAATGTGATTAAGAACTGCAATTACACTGCACAGGGTACGTGTAATAAGAGGAGCTTGTTGAAGCAATACCAATGACAGCAACAGGATTTAAGAAATATCATTCTGACTTGAAAAAGGGTATTCTAATATATTATAGAATTGTGAATAATCTGTACAAATGGTTCTCTATTTATAGAGAATATTTGACCTACTTTTAACCTAATGGGCTTGGCCCAATACAACAAAGGGCTTGGCCCAATACAACAATAAATGACTAAATAAAAACTAAATAATAACTAAATCAATATTATTTACAACACTCCCCCTCAAGCTGAGGAATAGATATTTATCATTCCCAGCTTGCTAGTAAGTTCTTGAAATTTGTCTGAAGGAAGCCCCTTTGTTAATAGATCAGCTAATTGACGCCCAGTGGGAATGTATGGAGTGGTAATCAACCCGCTATCAAGTTTCTCTTTGATGAAATGGCGGTTAACCTCAATATGTTTAGTCCGATCATGTTGAACTGGATTATGAGCTATACAAATAGCGGACTTATTATCACATAGCAGCTTCATAGGTCCCTCACATTTTATTTTGAGATCATCAAGAACAATTTTCAGCCACAGTAACTCACAAATGCCTTGAGCCATAGCTCGAAATTCAGCTTCTGCACTTGATCTGGCAACCACATCTTGTTTCTTACTTCTCCATGTCACCAAGTTACCGCAAAGAAACATGCAATAACCAGTGGTAGAACGACGGTCAGTCACGGATCCAGCATAATCAGCATCTGTGTAGACTTCTAAAGATAGATTGCCATCATGTCGGAATAACAATTCTTTACCAGGAGTACCTTTAAGATACTGAAGAATTCTCTCTACTGCCTGCATGTGTTTTTCTTTTGGATCGTGCATAAACTGACTGACAACACTAACAACATAAGCTAGGTCTGGTCTAGTATGGGCCAGATATATCAATTTCCCAACTAGTCGTTGATATTGTCCTTTATCAACTGGAGGACTCTCTTCTTCATAGCCCATCTTGTGATTCTGCTCAATAGGAGTATTAGAGGGTTTACACCCGAGCTTTCCTGCTTCTTTGAGAAGATCAAGAACATATTTCCTCTGGCTGATAAAAATTCCTTTGCTTGAATGAGCTACTTCTATCCCTAGGAAATATCTCAGTTTCCCAAGGTCTTTGATTTCAAACTCAGAAGCAAGCCGTGTTTGCAGAATCTGTCTCTCCATAAAATCATCACCTGTGATAATAATATCATCAACATATACAAGGAGCACAGTAAGCTTCCCATTTTGGGAGTGCTTGAAGAAAAGAGTGTGATCTCCTTGGCTCTGTCTGTATCCTAAGGTCATCATAACCTTAGTAAATCTTCCAAACCAAGCACGAGGTGACTGCTTCAATCCATACAAGGCCTTTTTTAATCTACAAACTTTATTTTCCCCCTTCACAGAATCAAAACCAGGCGGGATTTCCATGTAGACTTCTTCTTCTAACTCACCATTGAGGAAAGCATTTTTCACATCAAATTGATTTATATCCCAATTGTAATGAGCAACAAGGGATAACAAGATTCTCACTGTATTCATCTTTGCA